GTCAGAAATGAGCATGCTTGATGTCTGTCTCCATAGAGGCTGAATCATCATGTTAATCACATAGCTATCATATGCCTCAAACAGTCCTGATGCTCTTCTAGGTAATCACACATCCTGTCATGAACACAGCTACAGTTGGGATACCTTTGTTATCATGTTACTCTCATGTTGGAGGAGGACATTCAGGATTTCCCCAACATATAGCAGCCTTTGCTCGACTGCTCTGTGCCTGGAAATGCTAATCTCCTACAAAGCCCAGCCAGCCCTTTTCATGTCTGGCAATCTTTCAAAACTAAACCCGTCAACATCAGTCTAGCCTGGGCCCGTTTCCAGCAGCCTTGTGAGAAATGTTGGCAGCTGGTCCAATTATGAGACAGCAGTGCGGCCCACACACACAATCGTATTCATGTCATTGTACATGTAGGTCGATAAGGTCTACATCTGATTAGGATTTCATTGTAATTGTTGCCAATCATGTTCAGAGAGTTTTATTTTGTAGTATGGGTTGTTTCTGTATTCTGCTTTTGCCTTTTGCGCCAAACCCTTAAAGGTCACCTATTATGCAAAATCCACTTTTTCCTGTCATCTATACACACTATGTGTCCCCTCTTCTTCATGTCTCCTCTACATCAACATGTGTCCCCTCTTCTCTCGTTAATAACGCGTTAACGCCACTAATTATTTTAACTCGATTAACGCATGTGTATTTTTTGTCCTCGGCCGCCCCGTAGTTTCAGAGCGCATCGAGTTTAAAATACCATCTACAAGCTGATGCTGACAGCCCCGCTCCTGCCGCCCGCTTGTGGCAGACCACACTTCCACGCTCACCGGCAGGCACCGACTGGCTGTTGGGAGGACCGGGAGGGTGTGTGTATGTGTGGCCCTTGTTAGCATCTGGTGCTAGCTAGCTGCGCTAACGGATATGGAGCTGTTTAAATGAAAACAGAGGAGCGACATTTCGCCACAACTGCGCCGAGCACTTGACTTTATGCAGGAAGCCAGACAGTGGGACATTGTACGAGAAGTCAGCACACTCAGCACGGATAGTGCAACATGATTGCAGCGTCCAGGCAGCTCCCGTTCGAGCATATGCCTTGAGTTGCACATAGCTCCAACGATCCATCACACACACACACACACACACCACACACACACACACACACACACACACACACACACACACACACACACACACACACACACACACACACACACACACACACACACACACACACACACACACACACACACACACACACACACACACACACACACACACACACACACACACACACACACACACACACACACACACACACACACACACACACACACACACACACACACACACACACACACACACACACACACACACACACAATTTGTATTGTATTATTGTATGAGAGAGGTTCCAGGTTGAATTGAGGTGAATATTTGTAATGTTCAGAAGTTGTTGTGTTTAATATTCATGAGAATATTTGTCATTGTTCAAATGATAATAAACATTAGCATAAAGCATATTTGTCCACTCATATGTTGAGAACAGTATTACAAACTTGAAAAATATTCCTCTAAGGTACATTTAGAACAGATCAAAAATGTGCGATTAATTTGCGATTAATCGCAATTAACTATTTGAATCGACTGACAGCCCTAATAAAAACCTGTCTGAAAATGAGCTGATCAGATTTTGGCCACTTGATGATGTCATAACGTTGTTTTGTCTTGTGTAACCATTAGCCAATCAGCAACCAAGGTACCCCCCCCCTCCCCTTATCACCTGAATCTCCTCCTAGAGCACCATTGAGTTCTTTGTAACCAAATGTCTCTCAGAGGGGCGTGGGGAGGGGCTCCTTATTTTCATCTGAAGTAACAGACAGAGAATCAGCACTTTGGAAACAGGGCTGAAACAGAGGGGATTATGGGTAATGCTGCAATGATCTGTTTGGTGTTTGGAGCCAAACACTTCAGAGACATGTTTTGAATATATTTGAGAACTAAAATATATTGAAGAAAAACAGCATAATATGGGACCTTTAAGAAAGTGTTCTGTGCATTGCAAATTGTCGTAGTGGCCAAATGGTGGTACTACAACCTCTGTATCAGTCCATGACATGGTTAGGCCCAATGCTTTGTTTTGTGTTATTGCAGAAACTTCTTTGTTTCTTACATTAATTCACGTGTATGTAAGTTGTTGTGCCGCATGAATAACCTGTGCTCTGCAAGTAAAAACGTTTCAATATACTTTGCTCTCTCTCTGGAGCCCTGTGGTGATCAATTATCCACAACACATCAGTAATGTCGTAAAACTCTACCATGGCAGCGTACTACCAGCAATCCATGAGCAAGTTGGAATGGTTTATAGACTGTAACCTTATTAACATCAGAAGAAGTGAGTAATGAGTAATATCCTTTATATTCTGGAACATGCTCTCTCCATTATGTCACACTTCATTATGGTCAACACTGCCAGGGTCTCTCTGGGAGGAATCCAGCAGCAGAAGTCTGATTAGATCTGAGCTGAAGACCAGACGTGGCCCTGAAGTCGGAGAGAGCTGCCCGCCTGGCAACACAATGCAAGACTCTCTTTTATAACGATCGAATCTAACAATTAGAGCTGCCGCACGAAGGAGACATTCAGTCATAGGGTGAAAATGTGAAGAAAATACATATTAAATGCATGTCTTTTTTTTTTACTAAATGTAACAACGACTTGCTTCCTACCAAGCTTCCCTTTTTATTTGCTTCTACCTCCCTTACCATCCTTCTTTCCTTATCTCTTTCCTCCCTCCCTGCCTTTCTGGTTTGTGTTTGTCCTCCTTAGCACCCTTCCTCTATTAACTCCGATAACTGTAACCCATTGCACCCTTCCTTATCTCCTCATCTTCCTTTCTTTGTTTCGTCTCCCTTGTTTCCTTCTTCCTTCCTTCCTTCGTCCCTTCTGTATGACTTATTACTGAACACTTGAATGTTTCTAATGTGTGCTTTCTTACAGATTTACCTTTGGGAGCAAATGAGGTTCAGTTTTTCCCCAGAATGCATTGACATGTTGACTAAGAACTAATCTGAGTTTATGCTACAAAATCCATGGTGACAAAACGTATTACAACAGGGCTTGTTGCTAGGGCTGAACGATTGATCGATTTTAAATCGAAATCGCAATTTTAAATGATGCGATTATGAAATCGCAAAGCCTGTGATTTTTTTTTAACCATTGTTTTACTTTTTTTTTTTGTTCTTCTTGTGTGTCAGTCATCCACACCAATCAGAAGTGCTGTGCTCCACATGTACCAGCCATTGTTAACCAATCAGAAGTGGCCCCTGATAGAAGGTGATAGACAGATTGATCCAATCACCTGCCAAGTGCTTTTGAAAGTGCCTTCCCTTTCCAAATGGCTTCCAATGGAGCTTTAGATGGTTTGGTGAACCATCTGAGTCAGGTTAGTAATGCTCTATCACATGTTTCTATTACAGGGTGAATCATAGGTCCTGGATGGATATCCTCGTGGATTCATCTTCCTATTATACACACATGCATTTCCAAACATTTGGACTACCTATGTTGCAAATGTATTATCTCTTCAATTTACACAAGGCATCTATTGCACGTCTGTCCGTCCTGGGAGAGGGATCCCTCCTCTGTTGCTCTCCCTGAGGTTTCTCCCATGTTCCCTTTAAACTGTGGGTTTTCTCTGGAAGTGTTTCCTTGTACGATGTGAGGGTCTAAGGACAGAGGGTCTAAGGACAGAGGGTCTAAGGACAGAGGGTGTCGTATTGTCATACTGATATTCTGTACACACTGTGAAGACCACTGAGACAAATGTAACATTTGTGATATTGGGCTATATCAATAAACATTGATTGATTGATTGAATCTTAAACTGAAGCTTGACTTTAAAGCAACCCAACGGAAGTTTCATGTAAGTTTAGTTATTTCACTCGTAGCTCGGGGTGCTAGAGACGGGAGCACGTTGATACGACCTTCCTAGCCAGAGATATGGCCGCATTTACAATAAACTTCCGTTGGGTCGCTTAAAAACAAATATCGCAAATCGAATCGCAATATTTGTCAGAAAAATCGCAATTAGATTTTTTCCCAAAATCGTGCAGCCCTAGTTGTTTCCACGTAAGCTTTTGTTTCATTCATAACCTCCAGACCTTCTTGAGAAGAAACAAAGATGTGTTGATTCTGGACAGCTGATCCAAGTGTTGATGACACAACACATATAAAGGTTGTTCTTTAATACTTTGCTGCTTGGTGTTTCAATGTACAGTTGGAAAATGACATTGTAACTCAACATGACTGGGGTCATTACAAATAGTGCACAGATCCAAGCTATTTCCCCACATTCAGAGATAAGGAGAGCGACCAAAGTGAGAAATGAGGGACCCACTCTACATCATCACCCGCTTTATTTAGGCGATTTGTTTCCTGTCGACAGCCTGAGTTAAAAACAGCGTTGACATTGGCTGAGGAACTAAGTAGGGGATACCTCACTGACAGGCGAAAGCTTTACCTGATCTACTTAAGATATGCAAAAGAAAAGCCATCAAGCAGAAGTTATGTGCAAGAAAAGTAACAGGAGATGAGAATAAATATCATCCATTATTCACGATGTCTATGCCAGTGGCTTTTAACGCTGACATCTTAAAAGTCACTCTCTCCCTTGTTGGGAATAACAATAGCAATAAAAAAACATGACTCTGATTTTTTATCCAGAGCAGGGAAAATGCAGGCGATAGAAATGAAAAGATATATCATACATGTTCTTTTGTGTCTTACATTATGCTTAGACGGTAAGAAACAATGGTACAAATGGGATTCGTCCGAGTTAAGAGGAGTTATTATTACTTTCTGGACAGTTTCAACATTTACACAAACGTTAGGCAACACCAGCATACTGCAATGTGATATTTCCTTGGTCTATATTTGTAGGTTGTCATTTGTGCAGTCTATATTCTAAGCTGCAGGAAATGCTGTATTGTTTTGGTGATTTCGGTCATACAGTAGCCTCTTCTGAAATGGGCTTTAAGTGTGCAGAGGACCCTGAGAACAGAAGTATTATCCATGGACTATCACGCACAAGTACGGGCACAAGCAAAAAAATAGGACTCAAGAGCACAACCAGGCAATAAGGTCTTTAGTTAAGCGTTTAATCCAAAAGGTACAAATAAAACAGGCAATGATCAAAAAAATGTACTGACTTGAAGTAACGAAAAACAACCAACTAGGTTGGTACAAATGCTAAGCAGCTAGAACAATAGCTTTAGGTCAGGACTCCCTGGAAGAAGAGATCTTGTATCTCAATGGGACATTCCTGGATAAATAAAGGATAAATAAAAAAAGAATTAAAATAAAGGGACGGGTGGCGCAGTGGTCTGTGCATCCGATCATCAGATCAAGGGGGGCGCTAGGGGAACTCCAGTTCGAAACCCGCTCCTGCTGCCACTGCGTCAGGCCGTTGTGTCCTTGGGCAAGACACTTCACCCGGATTTGCTCCTGTGGGTAATGTCCACAGTACATGTATGATATCAATGTGTACTTGTAAAAGCGCCTCAAGGCGTGAAGATGGACGGTGTGGCGCAGTGCGCTGTGCAATGATCATCAGATCAAGGGGAGAAACCCGCCGCTGCTGCGTCTGTAAAGCCGGTGTGTCCTTGGGCAAGACACTTCACCTGAACTTGCTCCTGTGGGTATTGTCCACAGTATCTGACCATTGCATGTATGATATATGTGTAATGTGTGTATATGTAAAGCGCTTTGAGTCATTGATAAAGCGCTATAATAAATGTAAGGAATTATTAATTAGCTTACGTCAGAAGAGAAACATGGAGCACTTTCTGCTATACAGACAAGACCAACTGGCACTGACCAAGGAAACAGCACAGACTAAATACACAGGTGAGGAGTGATCATTATGGACAGCTGAGGCTCATTGAGACCAGGCAGGTGATTAACAGGGAGCGAAAATACACAGGTGAGGGAGTGACATGGACAGCAGGAAGCATGAACTGTCAAAGCTTTAGTGCAGGGGTGTCCAAACCTTTTCCACTGAGGGCCACATACAGAAAAACATACAAAGAGATGGGCCCCTCACTAGAGGTGAGGTATATCTCCTCTTAGGTTAACTTTTAAGATAGCAAAATAGATCAAATGAAGATACATTATTCTTTATACTTGAAGATGCTTTAAGAACAGCTTTCCATAGGGATTCATTTAGTTGACTGAATTGATCTGAAAAGTGATTATTAACACATAAATACTGTGGGCGTGTGGGCCGCATTCCATTATATTTTTTGAATTTGTTGAGGGCAAATAAAAAATGGACCACGGGCCGCATTTGGCCCCCGGGCCGTAGTTTGGACACCCCTGCTTTAGTGGTTCATAATGACTCCTCAAAACAATAACAGAACTCTCCAATCTATGAAATGTAGCGCTGCTTTCAAACAACAACAAAAACCCTTCAGGTAACTTGACGATCTTGAGCTAAACAGTGAGATTGGAGCCGGCGCAGACAGAGGGTCGTCTATCTTGAAGTTAATAATCAGACGACGCTTTCACTGACATCGTAAATAACTAGGATTGTGTCTTTTTGGGTCCGTTTGCCTTTGAGTTACTGTCACCCTTCCTCGGTCAAGTCAATACTGTTGGCAACACTGTGAGGAGAGACGGATGATTTGTGACAGCTGCTGAAAAGTCTTTAACACCATCCAACACCCGTCACTTTAGAAGTATCTTTGAAAACCTAATCTGCAAGTTTTAAAGGTGACCTTGATGTGATGGAAACTGGTATGAGAGCACAGATATGTATAAATGTGTCTGTTGATTGTGTATATAGATATTTGTATATATTACATTACATGTTATTCGTTAGACGCTTTTATCCAAAACGACTCACATACTCAATACTGTGGACAATCCCCACAGGAGCAATTTGGGGTGAAGAGTCTCAGGGACACAACGACATGCTGACTGCAGTGGGGTTTGAACCAAGGCTCTATCCACTGTGCCACATGCCTCCCTTATATATATTTGTATTCTGGATTGTGGGAAACATTATTTCGATCTCTCTGTCTGTACACAAACTGAAAGATTGACAATAAAGTTGACTTTGACAGATTTGGGGGCAGTGCTGGTCAGGAGGTTTAAAACAGGATGATTTTGTCTTGGTAACATTGGAGCTGATCCGAAAAACAAACAGCAACAGAGACGATGGAGAACAATCTCTCTCTGACTGATGATTGGTCGACTGAACACTCTATTACTAACCCTCTCCTTTCCTAGAACATAAGCCACTCGTTGTGAAAAATATGCAACTGCAATCAACAGAAGTAAAAGTGAACATTAGGCTATAAACAAACTACTTCACGGTCATATCGCCTCCGCTAAGATAAAGGCAGCTTATGTTCGGTGTGATGACGTTTAGTAGTTGATTTATTCATTTGTTAGCAACCGCTGTTTGTACGACACACAGAAACTTCGGATATTCACGAGTGGAGCATTTACTGACATATTTTGTCGTAGGACAAATATTTGAAATCTGCTCAAATGCCCTCTTCATTCCGAGAGCATATATTGGCAACTGTCTTGAAAGTAGAGGAGTTAAGGTCAAAAAGCCACTGGATTTGTTGCTAGGTGCTTTTTTTGGACTTGGACTCTTTAAAGTAGAGACACTACATACTGATATACACCTGAACATCAGCAGGAGAGGACTCTTTAAAGTAGAGACACTACATACCGATATACACCTGAACATCAGCAGGAGAGGACTCTTTAAAGTAGAGACACTACATACTGATATACACCTGGACATCAGCAGGAGAGGACTCTTTAAAGTAGAGACACTACATACTGATATACACCTGAACATCAGCAGGAGAGGACTCTTTAAAGTAGAGACACTACATACTGATATACACCTGAACATCAGCAGGAGAGGACTCTTTAAAGTAGAGACACTACATACTGATATACACCTGAACATCAGCAGGAGAGGACTCTTTAAAGTAGAGACACTACATACTGATATATACCTGAACATCAGCAGGAGAGGACTATTTAAAGTAGAGACACTACACACTGATATACACCTGAACATCAGCAGGAGAGGACTCTTTAAAGTAGAGACACTACATACTGATATACACCTGAACATCAGCAAGAGAGGACTCTTTAAAGTAGAGATACTACACACTGATATACACCTGAACATCAGCAGGAGAGGACTCTTTAAAGTAGAGACACTACACACTGATATACACCTGAACATCTGCAGGAGAGGACTCTTTAAAGTAGAGACACTACATACTGATATACACCTGAACATCAGCTGGAGAGGACTCTTTAAAGTAGAGACACTACATACTGATATACACCTGAACATCAGCAGGAGAGGACTCTTTAAAGTAGAGACACTACATACTGATATACACCTGAACATCAGCAGGAGAGGACTCTTTAAAGTAGAGACACTACATACTGAGATACACCTGAACATCAGCAGGAGAGGACTCTTTAAAGTAGAGACACTACATCCTGATATACACCTGAACACCAGCAGGAGAGGACTCTTTAAAGTAGAGACACTACATACTGATATACACCTGAACATCAGCAGGAGAGGACTCTTTAAAGTAGAGACACTACATACTGATATACACCTGAACATCAGCAGGAGAGGACTCTTTAAAGTAGAGACACTACATCCTGATATACACCTGAACACCAGCAGGAGAGGACTCTTTAAAGTAGAGACACTACATACTGATATACACCTGGACATCAGCAGGAGAGGACTCTTTAAAGTAGAGACACTACATACTGATATACACCTGAACATCAGCAGGAGAGGACTCTTTAAAGTAGAGACACTACATACTGATATACACCTGAACATCAGCAGGAGAGGACTCTTTAAAGTAGAGACACTACATACTGATATACACCTGAACATCAGCAGGAGAGGACTCTTTAAAGTAGAGACACTACATACTGATATACACCTGAACATCAGCAAGAGAGGACTCTTTAAAGTAGAGACACTACATACTGATATACACCTGAACATCAGCAGGAGAGGACTCTTTAAAGTAGAGATACTACATACTGATATACACCTGAACATCAGCAGGAGAGGACTCTTTAAAGTAGAGACACTACATACTGATATACACCTGAACATCAGCAGGAGAGGACTCTTTAAAGTAGAGACACTACATACTGATATACACCTGAACATCAGCAGGAGAGGACTCTTTAAAGTAGAGACACTACATCCTGATATGAGCCTGAAAATAAGCAGAATATGTCCTCTTTAAAGTATGAGAAATGTGCTTCAACATTACACAACTGTGAGGGATGTGATGTGCGATAAATGTCCAGTAAATCCAGTTGCAGCCACTTCAGCAAACATCAGCGTTTAATTTCATGTCATAAAATACATCGCTCAGTTTGAAGCATTTGTGCAGTAATTCCTTTGAGCAGTTAAATCATATCCGTCACCAATCCAGACAGAAAGCCGTGTCGTAGAAACTCAGCGTTTAATATTTGATATCCCAGAGGAAGCATTGTGATTACACAGATGGAAACGATTGTCTTACATTCACTGAACACGTGCATAGCACCTTGACACAGAGATTATTCAGAGATAATTATGTGAACACTATTTCTGTCTCTTTGTCGTGTAGCGTCATATACAGGCATGAGCAGTCCCAATGTTGTAAATCGTATATCATGACCGTGCTTTCTGTCAGGGTCTGGGATTGTGACTGGCATTTTGATTGCAGTTTTTCTCAGGGGATCGTCTGTGGCCTTGAATCTGGATCCAACAAAGTGGATTTGGAAGAATATTGCATCCATTGAAGGAAAAAACATGTTTACTACTACGGATAATTATACAGCTGTTTTCTCAGTTGTGTTATACATATTGTTTGTTAGCTCTATAGCAGGTGACCTTAAACAATATGTTGGCTGTTGACTGGATTTACCAGTGACTCTACTAGCTTAGATTTAAGGTCTTTTAACAGCAGGCAAAATGATAATGATAGACCATCTTCTATCCTGAGAAGACCACGATGAATATATCTGTACGATAAAGGGTCTTGATCATATTGTCTTCAGTGATCGATTCAGTTCTTGTTTCTCGTCTTAATATTTGCACTTGTTGATGTTGCAATTGGAGCTGCTGTGATTTAAGATGCAACATATGTAGGACCTGATCTGACTGAATAAAATGTGTTCGTATAGTATCGTATTGAATCTTATTGTCACGTATGTTATCGTATCGCATCGTGTAGTGTTTTGGAACACATTACAGTATAGAGCAGCGTTAACAGCTCTAGAGTTGGGTCGTTTACTCACTTTTATTTCACTGACAGCAACTAGCGCTGTACCTGAAGTTATTTCTCTTAGTTCATCATTTTGTTTTCATAGTTTAAAGCCGGCTTTTATCCTATGCTGTGCACAATGACTTGAACAAACGTTTTTATGATTCGACTGAT